TAATAATAATTTAATAATTTTTTAATTATTAGCTTCATTAAAATAAAAAAATTACCCGGCTATGATACGGAGAGTTCAGGTGTACTTGAGAAACGAAAGACAGTGTTGTGTTTCTCGGCAGAGTCGTCAGGGAACGACCGTTACGACAGAGACAACCTGTCTATCGCTCGTGTCGCACTCGTTATAACCTAAAACAATAACACAACAATAACAAGACATTGTCTGACCGCATGTTCCAGCTATTTATGAATGAGATGCTCAGTCTATATTTTATTTTAAGTCTATGATTTTATTAGTATAAAAATATATCAAAAGAGGATAATAAAGTTATTGAAATAATAAAATCAATCTTATTCGTGTTTTTACTGAGAAATATGTACGTTTGTATCTTTTTAAAGGTGTTTATTTAACCTGAGAATTTTTTTTCTGAAATGAAAGTCAAAATACAGGGTGGTCCGAACTGTATTCCTGAAACTTCGACAGCATATTCTGCTGATAAAAATAAGTAAAAAAGTTCGTATAAATGTATGTCCTAAAATACTTTTTTATTTATTTTTATCTGCAGAATATGCTGCCGAAGTTGCCGGAATACAGTTCGGACCACCCTGTATATTAATTATTTTACAAGACACCTGTATAAAAAATTAAAATATTTTTTACTCTATAAATCAAAATATTTTATCAATTTATATTATACAAGTTCATCTTAAATTCGGATATATTTTATAATAAGTAAAGCTCTAAGTGCGAAGTAAGACTGTTTCAAGGAACAAAAGATATTCGATCTATTAATACACATATTATGCAAATGTTACAGAAATTAAAATCTTCACATCTATACATATTTTTAAGATTTTTTAAGCATTATTGTCATAATTTCTACCAAAAATAACCAGATTATTATTAAGCAAAAATCTAAAAAAATATTTACATAAGCAGTAAAGAATAATATACATTTTAATATTTTTTCTTTGAACTCTTAAATAAGTTAAACCACTAAAAAATTTCACCTTGTATATTATGTAATTTTACTTAAGCAACAATCTCGTTTCCAGATCAAAGCAAAACACACTCTGACAAACACATTTTCGATCCCAGCTCTATTCAAATTCATCAATACAGGACAATGTTTTCAATGTTTTTCATTTTCTCTATAAAAGAACGAATAAAAAACTCGAACCTTTTTGAACCCTTGATTCGTATTTGCTTTCGCAGAGAGCTCTAACATTGTTTTCAATTTCGTGTGTACGTTCCCGGTATTTCCCGAATGTTTTCTATTTCCCAGATCGATTCGTTTTTTTGATTCGTCCTAGCTTGTGGCCTTTGGACTTGTTTTTCTCGAAAGAGGCCGAAAGGGAAATTCAATTGATGAATTTGATAGAAAAAGGAAATAAACCAGGAGTTAGGCAACTGTTACTCACAATTCAAGCAATTATGAGACACATTTTCTTTAAAGCTGCTCTATTTTTCTTAAATTATTTTGAATTGATTACTTCTATCTCTTATTATTATAAATTATATAAAACAGGTTTTTAAGCTATAATAAAAAACAGATATTTTTTTCTATAGCTAACAAAATATTATGTTTAAATGGTGACGATTAACATTTTGTGAAGTACCTATTTTTAAGTTCTAAAAAATCTAGTTACCCTATACCAATAGAATTTACTCGAAGTAGAAAAAATCTCTTTACAGTACAAATGTTTTTTTTGTTTCTAGAAATAATGTTTAATTAATATTTACATGAAGTATTTATGCAACATCTATTTTGCTTTTACATCTTTATATTATTAGATATTTTTTGTATTTTAGTTTTATTATTTTGCTCTATCTGATCGCGTTGTTACACTTTGTTTTTGTCACAGCCACAATTCTAGCGAACTACATAACTCAGACTTGGAAAAAAATAAATAAAATGAAAATAGTAATTTAAGATAAAATGCATAAGTAATGTCTGTTTCAGAGACCCAACTTGGAATTATACTTGATCATCACAGAATTACAAAAAGAATCGAAGTCTATACCGGGTGCGTCTCGAAAGTGGCTCACCCCTATAATTTTCTTATTTTTTCAGGTAAAAAAAAAGTGATTTGGTATGTTAGTATATGACATAAATTAGGATTGATTGATGTATTGAATTGTTTTTCGGTCGCTTCCTGTTTCACCGGAAATTACTAGAATTTTTGATTTTTAAATGGCACCTTCGGTATATTTTTACTTTATTTGATAGAAAATGACACTTTGAATAGAATGACATATGATTTGACTTTTGACATTTTCGGTTAAAAAACAAATCTTATTTTAAATTTTAATCTAGAGTGCCATGGCTGTGTTAAAAACACTAATTTTTAATCAATGATCCTTGGAAGAAAGTTTTGATCTTTTAATGTTTACCGTGTCTTGTCCTGGTGGGTTAAAAAATGCCTAAATCGTATTTTTAATCATATCTTAATTTTATCAAATGGAACAAGGGTGGCTCATTAGCATATTTGGAAAAAGCATCTTTTTTATGAATAATTTGGTACCACACACTTGATATTTCGAGTCAAATTGTCGTTATGAACCACATAATGTGAAAATTTCAAATAAACCATATGCGAAAATGTTAAAAGTTGACATTTGACATATGATATGTCATTCTATTCAAAGTGTCATTTCCTATAATAAAGTAAAATATACCGAGGATGCTATTTAAAAATGAAAAGTTGTAGTCATTTCCGGTTAAACAGGAAGTGACCGAAAACAATTGAATACGTCAATTATCCTAATTTATGTCATATACGAGCCCTAACAACTATATGTTGGGACAAGGTCATATTTTGGAATTATTGCCCTGGTTTTTCAAAATGACTGAAAAATATATGTTTAATTTTTTAAATATAAACATAGCCATATATCGTAAACAACTTGACAATATTTTTATGAATTTGTAAATCAATCCATATTTACAGTAGCGGATTTTGTTCATAAAAGGACAAATTTGCCTGACAACTAAATGTTGGGACAATTATATTTAAATAATTAATATCATAGGCGGCTTTACTATAAACGTCACAAATGTCGCAAACTGTTTACTTCAGCATTGACAGCTTGTAAGTGACTCGATACTTTGAGTAGTGAGACTTACTGTAAGTAATTTTAATTTTCAATTTTGTTAATTTAATCCAAAGTAATGGTCCGTGGAAAAGCTACAAATCAAAAACTACGCGAAATTATCATTCATGAATACAGTACGGGAAAAACAATTCGAAAAATTTCTGATGATTTAAGTATTCCAAAAACCACGGTCTTTAATATAATAAAAAATACGGCAAATCTGCCAGTGTAGGCGTTAGAGGTAAAAGTCCGGGAAGGCCAAAAGTTGTATCTCAGAGACATTTACGAAATTTAGTAAAAATTTGCAAGTCTGCGAGAAGAAGTACTCTTCGCGAAGTAACAGTTAAATGGAATACTGTAACTGGATTAAATATATCAAGAGAATGTTGCCGAAAATATATCCATAAATGCGGTCTGGGGTTTTTCAAGGTAAACTTTATTTTGTGTGGATAATCAATTACCTGAAGTTGTTGATACAAATTCTTATTTCGGCCAAGAAAACCGCTACTGACAGAAATTCAAAAGAAAAATCGCTACAATTGGGCAAAATCTAAATTATCGTGGACACAAAATTATTGGAATAAGGTCATATTTAGCGATGAGTCTAACTTTGACGTTTGCGTTGGAGATCATCGAAAAAGAATAATACGAAATAAAGCAGAAGCCTTTCATAAAGATTGCTTAAAGAGGGTTGTTAAATTTCCTAAGGGGATTATGGTTTGGCGTTGCATGTCAGCAAGAGGTTTGGGCAAATTAAATTTTATAGATGGCACTGTTGACGCCCAAAAATATCAACATATACTTGAGACCTCACTTTTGCCTAGTGCTCAAGAATTGTTTCCAAACGAAGACTATATTTTTCAACAAGATGGAGCATCGTGCCATTCAACAAAATCAAATAAAAATTGGTTCGCTAACAATAATATAAAAGTTCTATCCTATCCTGCAAGTAGTCCAGACCTCATTGTTATAGAAACTGTGTGGCATAAAATGAAGCAATATTTAAGAAACCACCCTCAACAAACAATTTTTGATTTGCGGACAAAACTGCAGGAAATTTGGGATACTTTTTCTCCTTAAATGTGCCAATCTTTGGTAAATACAATGCCATTAAGAGTTCAGGCAGTTGTTAAGGCGAAAGGTGATGTTAACTCCGTATTAAACAATTTTTTTGTTGTGCTGTCCCAATATATAGTTGTCAGCAAATTTGGCTTGATTTTGGCAAAATAAGCTCTTATCAAAAGTGATTTGTTTGCAAAGTTATAAAAATATAGTAAAATTGTCTAGATCATATTGTAATGTTTGAATTTAGAATAATAAACAAAATAAATTGGGTCGTTTTAACAAATTACTATTTTTATTGCAAAAAAGACCTTGTCCCAACATATAGTTGTTAGGGCTCGTACTAACATACCAAATCTCGTTTTTTTTATCTGAAAAAAAATTGGCGTCGGGAGGCACGTGTAGCCGCCCATATTAAAATATGTTAATAAAAAGTTGGTAGGCAGTTCTTTTAGTTTGAAAGTAAAGGAATTTTTCCAATTTTTTCTTTATCTCAAAAACTGCGACTTTGACTGATTTCGATGTTATTACAAATTTTGCTGCAAATATTATTAATTAATCTTACATTGAAAACCGCGTTTTGCTAGCTACTGTAATTTTGGAGTTACGATATTTTAAAATTTTTAACCCCCTCCCATACCCCCTTACCAACCCCCCACCCCCACCAAAAACTAATGGCCAGATTCTCGGGCGCCACAGTATTTTTGTGCCAAATTTGGTTAAAATCGGTTTAGCGGTTTTTGAGTTATCGTGTTAAAGACAGACGGACAGACAGACACCATGAAAATATTTTGTATTTAGGTCATTTATGACCGAAATAACTCATTTTGAGTGAAAAAAAAACCTTTTTTTTTGCTGACCTTATAAAGAAATTATAGGGGTGACCCATTTTTGAGACGCAACCAGTATATCAACTACTGTTTTAAAACGAATTAAAATAGTTTTCAAAATTATAGGTTTGGCTTAGAAATATTTGATTTTTTTTCTTTTCTTTCCAGCAATATTTTTGATGTTAAAATACTCAAAACTTGCCTACCTATTGTTTTGAAAAACCGAAAGAAACTTAGACTAAAATACATCTACAACCGAAGTGTCATAGCAGCAAAGGTTCCTGTCATTGGTCCAAGTACTTATAATATTACTTACACGTTACAAAACATATTTAAGGCATTACTCCTGTTACTCTAAACTTAAACTACACAGACTCCCAACTGTTATTCTTACAGTTATCCAATCTGCGCACAAACTAAACAGTCAGTACCATTTGACGGTCATTCGTCCCAAAGACATTGCTGTTTCTGAGCTATGTAGTACACGAACAGGTGACACACTTTGCAAGTCTTTATCCCGCACCGGTAGCTGGTTACGGAGTTCTTCGCCGAGCCTTTGCTCTTGCAGTACTTGAGCTCGCAAGGGTACCAACCTATGCACTGCTCGAGGTGGCACAGGCAGGGCGTCCACATGTTCTTCATGTTGGTGCAGTTGGCTATACCCACGGGGAGCTCGTAGGGGATGTCGTTGTTGATGTAGTCGGGGGTGGTGGGGAATCTCTTTAGGGCTGGAAGGTATGACGTGGTTTGTATAGCTGTAACAAAAAAGGCCAGTTGTAATTTTTTGTAATAACAGCAACTCATCTTGGAAATAGCCTGGGCCTTTTGCCACTAAAGCTTCATTCAGAACCGAGCAATTAGTGGAATAAATTAGTGGTTTTAATTTATACTTTATACTTTTTAATTTACGATCATTCACAATATTTAAAAAACACAATTAAATTTAATAGAATATCCTAACAACAGCTTGGCGTTAGTCAGTTATATCTACAGGGTTGTTCACCACATACGACACGGATTATTGTAGCTAAAGGATTAGATTTTTACAAATTGTAAGTTTTGGGTTCGTTGAAGGACTATTAGAGCTACAATTTAAAAATATTTTTACAAGATACAGAGTGTCCCAAATAAATAAAAAATGTCAAAGTTGTATTTTTTTAAATGGAACACCCTGTATATTATTGCATTTTTAATTTCTACACTTAAAATAAAGGTAAATCTGATTAAGGTTTATTACACTTAAACCTTCCCGTTTTTGAAATATTTTCAATTTTGTGAAATTGCAGTCAAAATTTTAAGGCTTCATTTCTCCAAGGGTATCCAAGGGTTTTTAATACTAAATATTTACTGAAGTTTATTTATTGATCAGTTATTGTGTTGCAATAATAAAAATTATACTACCTTATACAGAGTGTCTAAAATTTTATTTTAAATAATTACTAGCTTTAAACGGCAATAATTTGTTTAATTTAAATGGAACACCCTGTGTATTTTATGAGTATCAGATGCACAGTTTAATTGTCTATCAAATTGTATTATACCATTTCTTACCTATCACTTCAAGTTTCCGTAGAAAATGCATTTTCTTGTAATTTAAAACTCATTTATCAATATACCCATGTAATACTAACATTTTAAATTGTATTTAAAGATGTACCAAATTTTTAAAGAGTACAGATACTAATATTGTCGATAGAGTTTGTTTATTTCATTAAAAATAAAAAAAAACTGTTTAAATATTTGTTAAAGAGGACCAATTAATATGATTCCAGTATTCAAACTACATTAATTGACTGTTTGCGTTGATTAATAATAATTGATCCAGATACTAAAAAACTGAATTTTGTATGTGTATTAGACAGTGTGGTAAAAAAACACCTTAAAAACGATATTTCATTTTTTGACAAATGCTTATTTATAACAACAGAGACATTCATTTTCATAACTTATTATTATATTGATTTCTGATTCAAATCTACATTTATTTAGAATAATTTATTAACGAACATAATTAAGTATATAATTAATTAGTATTTGGGCGAAAATAATGGTGGTATATTTAATTAATGGTATACTCTTTTATAAAGATTTAAATAGTTTTCTTTTTGCATACAAATGAGCTAGTAATATAATAATTAGCGTGTACATTTTGCACAATTGTTGCTTTAAAAACAATCTAAAATGTCAATATTCCATGGGTATATTGATAAATGAGGTCTAAATTATAAGAAAATGCATTTTCTACAAAAACTTGAAGGGATAGGTAAAAAGTGGTATAATACAATTTGATAGACAATTAAATTGTGCATCTAATTCTCCTAAAATACACAGGGCGTTCCGTTTAAATTAAACAAGTTATTGCCGCTTAAATCTAGAAATAATTTAAAACAAATTTTTAAACACTCTGTATGAGGTAGTATTATTTTTATTATTGCAACACAATAACTTATGATCAATAAATAGACTTCAGTAAATATTTAGTATTAAAAACTTTAATACCCTTGGAGAAATTAGGCCTTAAAATTTTTACTGCAATTTCACAAAATTGAAAATATTTCAAAAACGGTAAGGTTTAAGTGTAATAAACCTTAATCAAATTTACCTTTATTTTAATCGTAGAAACTAAAAATGCAATAATATACAGGGTGTTCCATTTAAAAAAAATACAACTTTGATATTTTTTATTTATTTGGGACACTCTGTATCTTGTAAAAATATTTTTAAATTGTAGCTCTAATAGTCGTTCAACGAACCCAAAACTTACAATTTGTAAAAATCTAATCATTTAGCTACAATACTCCGTGTCGTATGTGGTGAACAACCCTGTATAGATAAAGTCAAGATAAAGCCTAATATTTAGCTTATAAAACAATCCACTTTTGATTTCTAACCACAATTTCTCTTGACGGAAAATAATCAAAGGCCAAAAATACATTTCTCGCAAATTTTGAAGGATAATTAGTGGAAAAGTTAAAAGTTTGATAACTTTTTCTACTAATTGAAAATGTCTACCATTAATTTTGACGTTCTGAATGCTTACATTGAAATTAAAGGAACAAACTTCTACACTAATTAAAACCACTAATTTATTCCACTAATTGTGAGGTTCTGAATAAAGCTTAAATCTCTGAGTACAGGGTGAGTTAACGATAGAGTAAAGCGTATTATCTCGTTTGTTATTTGTTTCGAGGTTTACAACAAAATGTTAAATATAAAAATTATAGGGAAGGTTAACATACATGTTTTAAAATTATTATTTATTATACAGGGTGCTTCAAAAAAGTGTGGCGGATATAATACATATTTCTTTAAATCCAATACCCCATTTTTTATTTTATTTTTAGGTTCTGCGTAAAATTCTATATTTTTTTTATATACGTTACTGTAAATGTCCGAAATGCGGTAAAACCTAGGATAAGCGCGGTAAAACCTAAGATAAGCGCGCTAAACCCGCTTTACCAAGAATTAACACCCCCAAATAACCACGCTAACCAACTCGAATTTCGGACATTTACAGCGACATATATAATGTTATGTACCTAAAATTAATAGTTTTTGTAATATTTGAATTTGTTTAAACAAATGTTAGATTCAGTGTGGTAAAAAAATCAGTGATGCTATTTTTTCTGAAGGTGGACCACCAAAATTCCTAGTCTATATCGTCCCATTGCTGCCAAAAGTCACTAACTTACATTTTACTACTTCCGAGAAAAATGCGTCTAAAGATGAATTGCATTGCATAAAGATGTTATAGTTAGTAACTATTCGGTATTAAAATAAAACATAAATAGTCAGAAATCGTAGTTAATGACTTTTGCAATCGATTCTCCGATTCAAAACATAGTTAGTGATTGAATTTGGTTGTTCGGAAAAATGTTAGTTAGTGACTTTTGGCAGCAATTGGACGATATCTACTAGTTGGTAGAAGAGTTTTATAGAGATGAAGAAAAAAAGATATACCCGGGCGCGTATCAAAAATAGTTTTATAGAGATGAACAACAATATATACCGGGTGCGTCTCAAAAGTGGATCACCACTATAATTTTTTTATTTTTTCATATAAAAAAACGAGATTTGGTATGTTATTATATGACATAAATTAGGATTGATTGACATATTCAATTATTTTCGGTCACTTCCTGTTTCACCGGAAATTACTACAATTTTTGATTTTTAAATAACACTTTTGAAATTTTTTATCTATTTCATTTGAAAGAGAATATTTTGAATAAAATAACATAGCATACATATGTCATATACATGTAACAAATTATTCGTAAAAAATGCTTTTCCAAGTATGCTAATGAGCCACACTCGTTCCATTAGAAAAAATTGAGATATGTTTAAAAATACTATTTGGGCATCTTTTAACCGGCCAGGACAAGACACGAAAAACATTAGACGATAAAATCTATTTTTCAAGGTTCCTTGATTAAAAATTAGTGTTTTTAACACAGCCATGGCACTCTAGATTGAAATTTAAAGTACGATTCTTTTAAGCAAGAATGTCAAAAGTTGACAGATGACGTGTCATTCTATTCATTTAAAAATCAAAAGTTCTCGTCATTTCTGGTGAAACAGGAAGCGAGCAAACACAATTGAATATGTCAATCAATTCTAATTTAAGTCATATACTAAAATACCAAATGTCGTTTTGATATGTGAAAAAATAAAAAAGGTATAGGGGTGAGCCATTTTTAAGACGCACCCGGTAAAGTATGTATAAATATAGAAATAATTCAAATAAGGCTGATAAAATAAAAATATAATATACAGGGTAATTAAAAAAAAACATAAGTTTGGATCATATTTCAAGATTGACAGCTTGTAGCAATAAGTGTGGTATCTTTAGTTTCACACTGTTGGCACGTTGCACACACCCTGCAAAACACACAAAAATGAGGCACCCTGTACTAAGCGCCCACCCTTTATTTTTCTTTTAATTTTTATTATTTTTTACGGGAAATTATTTTATATTTGAGTAGAGGGAGATGGCCGATTCTACGTCAGGATCAAGGATCAGGCGCACTGCGCATGCGCGTAAATCAGCTAGGAACATGTAAAATACACTAATAAACAAGAATAAACAGGTTTGAACCGCTTTGAACAGTTTTTGAACAGCTTTGAACCGCTTTTTAGTTTAAAACAACAGACCTGTTCATTTTTTGTTCATACCCTTTATTTCTGTTTTAAAGCTGTTCAAAGCGGTTCAAACCTGTTTATTCTTGTTTATTAGCGTATTTTACATGTTCCTAGCTGATTTACGCGCATGCGCAGTGCGCCTGATCCTTGATCCTGGCGTAGAATCGGCCATCTCCCTCTACTCAAATATAAAATAATTCTCCCTCTACTTATTTGGAGAAATACGTCTGGAAAATATTTCCAGAAATTATTTTCTATTAGTAAAATGTTATTTCCCGTATCACATAACTAGCCATTACTGATATTAAAAATATTTTTCTTTATTTAACCGATAGTAGATTACTAAACTAATAAGTTAATAGTAACCTAATAAGTTGTTTAAACCTAATAAGTGTTTTTTTTTCTGTAAATTACAATTATTATTTCCTAAATTCTCCATCCTCCCCAAGCCTCCTCCAGACGGATTTAGCTCTATCGCGCAAATTTTAAACAACCGTACATCTCCCTGAAATAAAGCGGGATTTCCCCTCGCTTTATAATCGAAAACACATCTAAAGGGCTTCATCTAAATCCCGAATATAATGGCGAATATAGGGCTGGTTCCGTCAGACAA